ATCAATAAAAAAACATTAAAAAGTATTTCTAACATTTCACCATTAAATGTAATGCTCACTGAAGGTTCTGTTAGACACTGTTAATTTCTATAACACTGGTTATAGAAATTATTTTCTCTTTCTAGCTTTTCTTTTAAGCATGAACAATCATTGAATTTTATCAAATGCTCTTCTGACATATACTAAGATGACCATACAGATTTTTCTACAGGTTGATAATGTGATAAATTAAATAAAAATTTTCTAATAGTATAGCCTCCCCAGTTCCCACTATAAACTCTATCTATATGGCCAAGATATATGCACAGTTGCATTCAGTTTTCTAATATTTTACTTATAATTTTTGCAGACTATATTTCTAAGTGAGATTGAACTATAATTTTCCTTTGTTATTCAGTCCATGTCTGGTTTTGGAATCAAGATTGTACTCCCAACATGAAGAAGTTGGAGAGCCTGTAAGCATGATAGTGTTTATAGGTAGATTTATTTTCACTATTTCAAGTTCAATAGTTTTTTCAAGTTTTCTACATCTTCTTGAGATAGAATTTTGAAATTTACGTTCTGTAGAAAATTATCCATTTCTTCTTAGTTTTTATATTTATGGGCATAAAATTCATTTTCATTGTAATTTTAAAATCTAGTGTGATAGTATTTAAACTCTGGTAAGATTGCTCAAGAAAGAGGCATGTCTTACTAATATTTTTCATTTGTGCCTTTTTCTTGCTTTTAATACTACTGTTACTAGAAGACTGGTATTAGATGAACATCAACCCTTAGTTTGAAGAGAAGATTGTGAATTCCTAGAAATAACAGACTGATGAACTTGGATGTTAATTCTGAACACAATTATTAAATTTCATTATTAAAATGATGGCTTTGAAAAGATAAATATGAAAGTAGTAAAATAGGAAGCAGCAGTTAACATTAGTTCACAAAAGTTATACCATATCTATACATTTCTTTTCATTTGTTTGATAGAATTACTACCAATTAGGGACACGTTCTGAACTTTCAACCAAACTTTAGACAAAGCTTTTCAAGATACTCTGTGGACCAGATGGAGAAATGTGAGTTGGCTGACAGGCAGTACTCTAGGGTAAATGCTTATAACTCTCTGAATGGCTATACTAAAAGAATGATTAATGGAACAAAATAAACTGTGGAGAACATCTATCCTTAGCCCATTCAACATTTCTATGAATTAAGGATGGGAAAAGTAAGCTTATCAGTTTGCAGATGACACAAAATTGGGATGTCAGCTAACACACCAGATAACAGAATCAGCACACAGAAAGATCTGAACAAGCTAGAAAGACGGGCTGCAATAAGTAAGTTATTTAATAAGGGTAACAATAACAGCCTATATTCAGACTTAAAAAATCAATCACACAAGGATTGTTCAAAATTGGGTTTGGCAAACTACTGCTTCTAAGCCAAATCCAGACTGCCACCTATTTTTATATGTCTCATGAGCTAAGAATGCTTTTTAATAACAAAGAGGTCTGGTTCATTACAAAGTCACTCACTATAAGGCAAGAGTGTACTGTATCTGCCTTCAAAGGTAAAAGAACTAACTACACCCCATGAAAATTTTTGAACTCAAACTAAGCACTAGGCACTGCACTAGTAATACAAAGATGACTACAACCTAAGACAAAGATAGTGACTAAGACTTAATTCTTACCTTCAAGCTCAGAGTCAAGGAAGATGGACAAGCATGCAACTAATAATATAATGTTATATGCTAATAGTATGATCTATGTTCAGAATACTGTGTTCAGTTCTGGGTAGTATTTTTTAAGTAGGACATCATCAAGCTTGATATTGCTCAGAGGAGAGCCAAAAGTTCATGATAATCTATAAACTATGTTACATGGAGAAAGCTAAAAAAATAGGGATTGAAACATTTCAAGAGCGAGATGAGAAAATGTGACTACAATTTTTAAAAAATATTTTTAAAGTATTTAAAAGATTTAAAATATTTTTTAAAAGATTTTATTTCTTTATTTTTAGAGAGAGGGGAAGGCAGGGAAAGAGAGAGAAACATTGATGCGTGAGAGATACATCGATCAGTTGCCTCTCCCATGTCAACTGGGGACCTGGCTCACAACCCAGGCATGTGCCCCAAGCAGGAATCAAACCAGAAAACTTTCTGTTTGCAGGCCAGCAACAATTTTCAATATCACAAGTGTACACAAATAGAAGAATGACTCGTATTTTTCTTTTACAATTCCAAGGAGAACTAGACTCAACAAATGTGAATTTTAAGCAGGAACACCATACACACACACATACTTTCTGGCAAAGTAAAGATTTAAAATTTTTTTCATCCCTGAAAGTGTCCAACAAGAGTAGATGATAATCTATAAAAGAAACTAAAGAAATAATTCCTACATCTGTTGGTTCTTTTAATCAATCATATTCTAAAAAAGGTAGATCACACACAGATAATGAAGGATCTTAAAACCAGGTTAAGGACAATGGGTTTTAACCTGTAGTGCAGTGGTTCTCAACTGTAATAAGGGTGATTTTGTTTTGCAGGGGACATTTAACAATGCCTGGAAACGTTTGGGCTGTCACAACTTGGGAGGGGGGATAATGCTACTGTCATATAGTGGGAATTTTGAAATGCTGCTAAACATCCCAACATGCACAGGAAGTTCTGCACAACAAACAATTAACTGATCAAAAATGTACACGGTGCAGAGGTGGAAAAAGGTGTGGCGATGTATCTGGGAGTGGAAGTTTAGGGGTCGGAGATGTAGGAAGAGAACTTGCTGTATAAAATTATATATTTTAAAAAATATTTTAAAATTTATTTTCAGAGAGAGGGGAAGGGAGGGAGAAAGGGAAGGGGAAAAACATCTATGTAAAAGAGAAACATCAGTTGGCTGCCTTTCCCACTCCCCCAACCAGGGATCTGGCCTGCAATCAGATGTGCCTGACTGGGAATCAAACCAGTGACCTTCTGGTTCAAAGGCTGGTGCTCAATCCACTGAGCCACACCAGCCAGGACAGAGTTATATTTTAGAGCAGCAGTTTTCCATCTTTTTCATCTCATGGTGCACATAAATATTTTGCAGCACACATACACACACATTATATATATTTGTCGATCTGACAAAAAATAGGTACACTTTTGATTAATTTACACCAGACACTACCGTGATGGCTGTCGACATTTTTTTATTTGACACTAAAGGAAATGTGGTTAGCACTCCTGACGAATGTTTTTAAAAAATTTGCATCACACCAGTGTGCCTCTCGTAGCACCACTGTTTTAGGGGAAAGTATCTAGCATTGTTGTATAATGTATGAATAAGGAAGTGTACTACTCTCCAAATGTTCAGTTTTTCTTATCTCACATTCTTATCATCTAAGTGGTCTGAGGGAAAAAACATGTCTTTTAATAAAAACTCATTTCATACCTCCTATATCCATTAATATCCTTCCTATTTCCTGTGTTGGGTAGAACTGTTTAAATAACAAGTCATCAATGGCAGAAGATGGGTTCCCTTTAAAGGTTGCTTTGTTGTGGTTGATGAGAAAGAGACAAACCAACCCCATAGAAACTGATGGAACAACTCATCTGATGTGTTGCTTCCACAACTCCAAAATGCAGGTTTGGGGATGTAGTCTAATTTCAACTTGGGGTGCCTTATTCTAAATACACATTCCAACAGGACCACAGGTTGTGCACTCTGGGGTGCTATCCTTTGCATTTTTCAAGATCCCTGACATGGACTTCTCTGATGCCTTGTCCTGTCTTGTAAATCCAGTCAGTTAACTATCCTTCACCTCCAGCTCATGTGCCCTTTCAGGTCCTTCTTTCCAAAAACCTCTCTGGGGTAGTCCTCAGTTCACTTTCTCCCTGAGCAGCCCCTTGGTTCTGGTACCCTCTCCCATGACATCCACTCGGAACTTCTGTGTAAATTAGAAACAGTCACCCTCTGTCCCCCGTGCCACAATCTATGCTTGGTATCACTTGAAAGGCAAACCAGCCCTCACACCACCTCTCACCTCCATTCCAAACAAACCCTTCTCCTCGGTCCCAGGCCATTTTCCAGACCTCCAAGGCCCCAAACATTCATTCCTTTTTGGACACCCCGCTCCAAACTATATAAAATACGTTAAATAAATCCACATCCTACGTTAAATGTAATGCATAACTATACGGGTTACGTTGTAGTTGGTAGGCTACATTTTGGTAGAGTTATTAATTTCGATTTGCAATTGTCTTCTCTTTTGGGGGTCAAAACATTATTTCAGAACTTTGTGTGCTAGCAGTAGCGTCTTTAGGGCTAAGGGGAGAGAACAGACGTTAGACTTTCCCCATCCCCTCACCAGCAGCCCCCCAGTGCCGTCCGCCGCCTGCATCCGCGCCGCGTGCCCCCTCACGACCCCTTTCCACTCTTCCTCAATTCCCACTACACCAGCATCCGTCTCCGTCGGCCTTGCCCAGACAGGTTCCCACCTCCCCGGATGCCGACCTAGGCCGCTACACCGACCTACTCGCCTGGACTTCGGGTAGCTCCAAAAGCGTATACAGTAGGACCTGGAGGCGGCCCTTCTACCACGCCCTCAGCCCCGCCCCCACCCACGCCCCCTTCCCGGCCTCCACTGAGTTCCCCCGCTTGCGCTCCTCTTTACTCCAGTCTTCGCGGCACCCCAGCACACAGGCCCCACCCCACCCCACCCCACCCCACCCCGCGTGTTCCAGCCCCCTCCTAGCCCCGCCCTCTACCGGCCCCAGGCCTCCTCCGATCTCCCAGGCTAGCACACGTCTCTACGCTGGGCTCTTTTCTCCATCCGGCCCTCATGCCCCACCTCCAGACCACACCACTAAGCTCATCTTTACTTCATCAGAGCTGCGCATCCCCGCCCAAGGGCCTCTACCCAAGCAGGAACCTGAGTACACGCTGCCTATCTCCCCCAAGTTGAACGCGACCCCTGGCGCCCGCAGGACCCAAGGGACCCACCCACGCACGCGCAGTCCCCACCTCTCCAAGCTCCAAGCCTTGGCCCTCGGGTCGCCTGCCCACCGCTCGGCCCCGCCTCCAGGTCCGACCCGCCTCCCATGCCGGGTACAGCGCACGCGCGTCTCCCTTGCCCAGCCTACCCTCCCCCCGCCCCTGTCAGCCCAGCGGTCCCAAGGCGCTGGGTTGCCCCTAGCCCCTTCCCTCCTCCCATCCTTTCTCTGTCCCACCCTCGTTAGCTTTGTGCCTGGAGCAGCGAGCCCCTTTCCCTCTCAGCCGACCTGTGGAAGAGGGATCCACTAAAGAGGAGCTGCAGCTCGCTGCCCTAGGCAGGGGCACAGGTAGGTGGCGGCCACGGGCTGGGCCGCCTACGGAGCCCTGGGCCGAGAGTGGGGGCGGGAGCGGGGTGTGAGAGAGGGGCGAAGTGGGGGAGGGGAAGACCCAGAGAGATGCGGTTGGGGTGTGGTTGGGTGAAAGGTGTGAAGAAGAGGATAAAGGAGTGTGGAAGATGGATTTAAGCTTGAGGTAGTGGTGCTGGGGTTGGGTATGTAGGCGTGTGAGAATTGGGGTTCGAGGCGGTGGGGGAGAAGGGACCAGGATTTTTGGGGTGGGCTCAGAGAGGGACAAGCGTGGGAATTTAGAGAGATGGAGAATTGCAGTGCTGGGGAAGGAGCTTTGAGGAATGCAAAGAGGAAAGGATATAGGATTGAGATAGGAGAAAGGGTGGGGTCTTGTGGGTAGGAAAGAAAGAAGTTGGGGCTGTGGGTTGTGAAGTTGAGCATAGTGAGGCTTGAAGGAAGGGAATTTTGAAGGTTGCAGACAGAAGACAAGGAAAGACATGGAGAGATTTGGCTCCTAGGAGAGGTGATCCCAGAGAGGGGGAAGGGTGAGTGGTGACGTACAGAATAGATGTTGCCTGGGGGTGAGAGGGGGGAGGAATGATGTGGGGAAGGAGGGAGAGGCTGGCGGAGATGGGATTGAGTCTGAGAGGCAGGGAGCCAGATTTCAGAAGGGCCATGGAAGGATTAGAAGGGCACAAGGTTTGAGAGGTGGGGGCAGAGGAGCTGAGAGTGGGAGAAGGAAGGGGAGGTTAGGGCTTTTCTTGTGGAGATTGAATTTTGTGTGTGAAGATGTAGAGTTAGCAGGGAGAGAAACTAAGTCTCAAGGTGTGGGGGAGATTGGTATGTTCCTGGAGGAAAGTAGAGAGCTGGGTATGGTACCATCCTCTGGAGCTTGGGAGAGGAAAGGGTATGGATCAGGAAAGGGAAGGTAGAAAAATGTGAGCTATAGGGTCAGAGAAATAGGAGTTGAAAACTGAATAATGGATCTGACACAGAACAGTGAAGGTAAGATTAGTTAGTTGATTATTTATGGTTTGAAACTCGTTTCTGTTCAGGTTTTTACGTTGGAAATTTTCTCAAGAATTCTGCATTTTCAAATTAACCAAGGGTGTGTGTAGCCTTGGGATGAAGGCCATGAATTAACAGATGTTTTCCTGGTGTGTGGATGTGGGTAATTTCTGCCCTGGCAGAAGGTAGAAGGGAGGCCTCAGTGTAGCTCTGTCCTGGCTCTGTTCCCACCAGCTCTTTCCTCACATGTCCATTTTTTGGTTTTGTTTTTTAATCTCCTCTCTGTCTCCCCATCCCCCAGTTTCAGCCAGTGAATACCAGAGGGATCAAACAGGTGGGTGACATTAATTTTTAACATCTCTTTTTACCCTTAAGGCTTATATCATATTTTTATCCTTGAGAGACAGCATCATGCAGTGGAAAGAGCTTGAACTTCGGAGTAATACAGCCTTGACATTGAATTCTGGCTCTGCCACTTACTAGCTCTGTTCCTAGTAAGTTACTTTATTTCTCTGAGGCTCTTCAACTGTTAAATAGTAATCCTGACCTCAAAGGATTGTGGAAGCTAACGTGAGATCATTTAATATAGTACCAAGCACAGTGCTTGGCAACTGGTAGGTGCTTAATAAATGGTAGCTATCATACCCACTATCATTGTCATTGTAGTCTTTACTATGATTTTTTATTATGGGGATCGTTAACCTTACTTAACTAAAGTTAGGCCTTGGCTGGTATAAGCTCAGTGGATTGAGTGTAGGCCTGCGAAGCAAAGGATTGCAGTTCGATCCCCAGTCAGAGCACATGTCTGGGTTGCAGGCCTGTTCCCAGCAGGGGACGTGCAAGAGGCAACCATACACTGATATTTCTCTCCCTCTCTCCTTCCCTTCCCCTCTAAAGACAAATAAATAAAATCTTTAAAAAATAATAAAGTTAGGTGTTTTCTTTTCTTTCTCTTCAAATTAGATATCCATAGACTTACTTCACCATTTTAATCCTGTTGCCTCCTACTCTCCCATCTGCCTCCCCACCCCTTGACTGGGATAGCCATGCTCCTTGATTGATAAACTGGCTTTAAGTTCTAAAAAATCATTATGGTTCGTTATCAATTGTTTTATTTTGCTTCTTATTCAGAGAGGCTGTAGTAACCTGAGGTATTAATAAAGTAAGGTTATATTTTATTGGTTTGATGAAATGGCGTACTCCGTGGTGTCCGTTCATTTACGGGGGCCAAATACTAGAACACACACTATCATGATGTTTTTCTGCAGCGATGTATCAGTTACAAAACCGCCCCCCCTGTAGGGAGCTGACAGACTATTAGAATGCCCCTGCTACTCTGTTGATCTAACATAAAATACAGCTAATGCAGATCTACACTGGACATTGTTTCCTTACAGATACTGATTATTTTAATTTTCCAGTTGTATGGGGGTTTTGCCACGGTATGTCTCCCGAGAGGGCCCGTTTATAGTAGACCATCCTATCCAACAGCCAGGCAGAAGCAAAAGCCAAGTACAGAAGCTTTGTGCAGAATTCTCTTGCTTTTGTGGTTCTTAACCTTGAAAGGTTTAAATACTAAAGATTATAATCCTCAGATCATTTTATATTACCTCACAAATTCTCAGGAAACTCCTTGTTGGGAGAATAAAAAAAGCCCAAATTCATTTGTAGAAATCAAAGGTCACCAGGATTCCCTGAACTGAGTTCTTCAAGTGCTGTAGTTGAAGAATAGGGAGGCCTTGGGGTTTCTGGACAGATGATGTAGGTCTACTCTTTAGGAAATATTGGATTTCTTTTCATTATTTAGAAAGAGAATTAGCATTTGATGAGTAATTTAAAGGTAAAATATAGCCAGAACTGTGCCCATTTTAAAAAAATGATCCCTGGAAGCAGAAGCTGCCAGGATTTGGGGCAGCCTGGGTTAACATGCTTACTCCTGTCCCAAACTGCTGTGCCCTCTGCTGGATAGAATCAGACTTTTCTGATTTTCACCATAGTAGTCATCCATTGATCCATTTGTTCACTTTACTGCAGAGTTTGTGGAAGGCACTATTGGGGGGTAATACTGATGGGCAGACCCCTATTTCTTTGCCAGGAAGCCTATAATATGTTCACCCATTATAATGTTATCTTCCATTGAATTTGCCTTTCTATTAAAATCAGGTCATTTCTTTTTAGGATGATACCTGGTATCTACTTTCTGATCTATAAGTAGAATAGGGCTTGAATATCCAATCACGGGTACAAAGACCAAAGGGGGTCTGCTCTATCTTCTCATCAAGATTAAAGTCTGTGAGATTGAAGGGGCCAAATGTTTGCTTCTACTGGAAGAAGAGCTTAGAATTCTAAGTGATGTATCTCCTTAGCAGCAGACTGAATACCAGCAAGACTATGAGTTTTAAGAACTGGCACTGTGACAGTTTTTTTTTCTTTTTCCTGGTTTGTAGATTCTTTCCCCTGGTAGTACCAGTAGCAGTATACTCCCATCATCTGCTTTGCTTCTACCACCTGCAGAAGGGTCTGGCAAGTGGGGGAGGAGCTGCAGCTGTTGCCTGGAAGAGGAGCTGGCTCCTAGCAACAGTATCAGCAGGCCCTGCAGCTCAGACCACTAAGCCTGTCCCTTTTGAGGTCTCACCCTTCATCTCAGTTGGTTCAGCAAATATCTGTTGAAAGCTTACTCAGTACTAGGCTCTATGTTAGGCCTGGGAAAGAGAGATGGGTCAAATGAATGCCTTGCCTTCAAAGAGCTCACAGCTCTGGGGATATTAGTAAGGGAACAGACATAGTACATGGTGCTAAGTGCCATGCAGAAGGAGTCATTGGTGCTCTGGGTAGTATCAGACAGGCCTTCACTGGTACAGGGGTTAGGGAATATTTCCCAGGAGATGGAAGGTGGCATTAATGATGAGTAGGAATTAGCTAGGTCAGGGAAGCAGAGAAGGGTATTCCAGCCAAAGGGGCAAAGGACAGTGGGACAGGCAGTTTACCTAAGTAGTATTGCATGGCCAGAGCAGAGCATAATAAAATGATCAGGGAAGGGCGAAGCTCTCAACTTCAGCAGAGCCCTCTTTTCTCTTGTGTTCTACACACATAATTATACTGATGCCCACATCAGTATAATAACTGAATTATGCTGATGCCCACCAACAGGACCCCCTGTTTGGTCTCCAGAGATGCAGCATTTTTGGTCACTGGGTTGATTGTTGGCTGACACTTTTAAGTGTCATCATAGGTACATCCTAGCCCTGCATTGATGCAGAAGAAGCTGGGTTGGTTCACACTAAACGTCAATGGGCGTCTTTCAGACATAATAGTTTTGTGACCTACATTATATTAAATTTCACCCCTCTTCTTCCTTTAAATTGGTGTAGAAATGATAAATACTTTCATGTAATGTAGCAATTTCTTGTGTATTGTGAAATCTTACAGTTCTTCAGGAAAACAAGTATTTATTCCAGTTAGTACTTGGGCACAAAATGTCACCACATGACCACATAAATACCCAACTGTGTTTGATATTTTGCCTAACGTCAAAAGTGCCATAGTAGAGCTTTAGTGGAAGTGATGCTTCAAGGGTTACAATAGCTTTTATTTAGCTCTTGTGATGGAGGTCTTTATTTTTAAACCCAATAAAAATTTTGTTGCTTGTGGTCTGTGTAAAGTTTAGCAAATAAGTAAACTTGAGTTCTGGCAATATCTTCTCAGGGACTGCTAACATGCCAGAACACTTTGTTA